TTAAGATCTTAAATTTAAGGTCTTAGATTTATTCAACGAAAGAATTCTGGAAAGGCAGTTCGTTATACAATAACCAAAAATGAGATTGATCTTGAAGATGAAGTTTGTTATACAATAACCAACTTCATCAGTGCACTTCTGCCTAAGGATAAAATTGAAGAGATAAAGACCTTACTCTGTGAATTCAAGGACTGCTTTGTTTGGTCATATTCTAAAATGTCTGGCTTATCCTCTGATGCAGAAATTCACAAGCTAGCCATCAACCCAGATGCAACACTTAGAAAACAAGCTACACAGAGAAAGAGACTTGTAATTAAAGAAAATGTGACTATTGAAACCAAGAAGATTATTGAACAAACTTTATATGAGAAGAGAAGAATGTTGGCTTGATAAATTTGATGAGCTTGAAAGTCCAAATGTGGTCGTACTTTGACATCAATCATTTGGGTTAAGTTGGGGTTACAAGAGAACAAGCTAAATACTTCGAGAAGATATGGAATTCAAAAGTCCCACGAGCATCAAGTGATGATAACATATGCACAATTTAAGGTCTTAGATTTATTCAACGAAAAAATTCTGGAAAGGCAGTTTGTTATACAATAACAAAAAATGAGATTGATCTTCAAGATGAAGAAAATCATATGCATTCAACTCTACAAGTGATCAGGATGTAGATGTCAAGCTGCTCTAGAAGAAATTGAAGATGGTGGGCAAACAATTACCATGGATGAGTTGAAAAGAATTAACTTCGAAATGGAAAAAGAACCTTGCCCAACTTCATCAGTGCACTTCTGCCTAAGAATAAAGTTGAAGAGAGAGAGAGACCTTACTCTGTGAATTCAAGGACTGCTTTGTTTGGTCATATTCTGAAATGTCTGACTTATCCTCTGATGTAGTAATTCATAAGCCAGCCATCAACCCAGATGCAACACCTAGCAAACAAGCTACACAGAGAATGAGACTTCAAATTAAAGAAAAGGTGATTGTTGAAACGAAGAAGATTATTGAACAAACTTTATATGAGAATAGAAGAATGCTGACTGGATAAGCAACAATGTGCCTATGACAAAGAAGAATGGTCATATTTGCATCTGCATTGATTTTCGAGATCTTAATAAGGTGTGTCTAAAAGATGACTTTTGGCTCCCTATAATAGAATTGCTCGGGGACAACACTTCAAATCATGATATATTCTCCTTCATGGACGGATCATCAAGTATAATTAGATCAAAATGACACATGATGATGAAAAGCATACGTTATTCAGGACACCGATTGGCATCTATTTTTTCAGTCACGTTGTTTGGTTTAAAGAATACGGGAGTAACATAACAAGAGTTATGACTATAATATTTGATTAACCTGATCCATCAGAATGTAGAGTGCCATCTTGATGATCTTGTCATCAAGAGTAAAGATCGTCAAAATCATTTGGATGATTTGAAGATTGTATTTGAAAGAATAAGAAAATTTGATCTCAAAACGAATCATCTGAAATGTGCCTTGGGGAGGGGGAGGTCCACAAAAAAATCTTTTGGGGTATATTGTACGCCATAGATTTTGTGTGTCTATATAGACAATTCATATTTTTATAACTTGCATTTTTTTTTAATCTTCTCATCATGTAGGACTAGATTATAAATTATTATTAGTATCCCCTTAGACACATTAATATGTTAGTATTATTATTATTATTATTATTATTATTATTATTATTATTTGTTTAATATCATTTTAACGATCTATTGTGTAATTAGAATGAAAAGATTTGAGAAAAACTAAGCATGGATGACAAAATTTTCAAGTATATAATTCAGTGAAAAGGAAACACAAGCCACTCAAAAAAAAATTATAAAATAATGATGCATCTAAATCCTGAAGAGCTTTTTACATGAACCTTTAAGAAATTACCTACAAGGAAAATGGTCAAATAAAATCATACCACATATCAAATAAATATTAATGAATTGAAAATTTTAGGAAGTTCTAGACGTTTTTTGGCCTTTAATAAATCTAATTTGACCTTTTTTTATGAGCTTACCAGCAATATTGTGTATTCTTCTCTTTTCAACATCTTACAAATTCAAATCATGCACCTTACACATTAGATATGCTCCATTAATTCCATAAGTTATCTTAATGTAATGATTTCGTCCAGGAATGATGGTGGATATCTCAGATATATTGTTCCCTGGGATGAAATGAATAGTTATAAGGAATCATGGATTATTTAGCAAGAAGCTCGGCAATTATATGAAAACTTACATAATGAATAGCAAATGTTCAATTTGATATAGCCATTTTTATTCAAATCAGACAAATTGATGTGGAACCTTTGATATGTGATCTAATTACCAGATTTATAAAAATTCATGAAACAATAGCTTCCTGGGATGAAATGAATAGTTATAAGGAATCATGGATTATGTAGCAAGAAGCTCGGCAATTATGTGAAAACTTACATAATGAATAGCAAATGTTCAATTTTATAGAGCCATTTTTATTCAAATCAGACAAATTGATGTGGAACCTTTGATATGTGATCAAATTACCAGGTTTATAAAAAATCATGATACAATAGCTTCAGAGGATTTTTAGATTTCTTTTGCGGCCCCTATTTTCCTTGTGAGTATGGAAATCTATATATTCCAACTACGACCATGGAACAACAAGAATCAACGTCTTGAGGCCACGTTCACCTGTGATTGTAACAATCAAAATTTTACCTAAGTATTTTTTAACAACTTTAATATTCTAAAGACAATATCAAATGAAGCAGCACTTTTCTAATACAGCTTTTATTCATTAATTCCTTTGAAAGGCACTATGCACATGTGATTTTTTTTTTACCGTTCTAGGAAAAGCAAAAGTTCTTTTGCCTAGAAATAATTAAAAACCTATGAGAATTGATGTGGGAGAATCAAAATTTATTTATTTATAACTAAATCTAATAGGATTCTATGAATATTCTTTTTTATGGGTCCTTCATGAGCTATATACCTTGAGGTGTGTAATATTCATGCAAAGAATCAATAAAATTTCATGATTTCTACCAACACTTGTGGAGGATATTGGATGTGGATTCTTCAAATGCTATAGAAGTATTGACGGTTACTTGTGTGAGTCTCTTATACTAAAATGAGGTATGGATCTTCTATTAGATTATTTATATCGTATATCATTGTATCTATTTAATTAGTGAAAATTATGTGTGCATGATTGCAAATTTGCCCAATGTAATTTGTGTCAAATTCAATTTTGTACAATAAATATTAATTGTTGCTAAAATTTAAAATTGGTTCACATTTTTTTGTGGAATTTCAGATTTACTGACTACTAAATTATTGTTTAGGACTAAAAAAAACTATTTAATATTTTTATATTAAAGTGAATCATCTTTTGCTAGTTAAAAGATCGCAACCTATGAATTGTGATGTTTTTAGGTGTACTCATTGTGTATCCTATCTTAAGTTGTATCTTAACACTACCCAAAATGCACTACATCCCTCATATATCTCTAGCTTTTTATCTTGTTCTTGTGAACGCTTAAATATTGAGGCGCTTTTTTATGTAACAGTTGGAATTTCATCAAAAAACTAGAAGTTATGTGTGTTCATTGGAGAGCACTCTCAAGATAAGTGACCTGCTGAGATATTACATCAATGAGACAAAACAGTGAGGCCATTAGGCCAAAGCGGACAATATCTCGATGGCTAAGAGTTCAGGCCATTAAAAATTGTGTTAGAACAAGATACAAACCTAAAGATGGGAACTAAGTGATATGCAAAAAAAAAAAAAAAATGCAACGCCGTGAAGCCATCCCTTGAACATAAATGGGACAAAGTGCTACAATGTGAGAGCTAACATTTCAATCAACAAGGACCACCTCATGAATCTTATATATCTAGATTGTGAAATTTCCCAAGTAAAATGAAACTAAAGTCTTAAACATCGAGGCCTCTTTTGGTGTAACAATTGAAATCTTATCAAAAATTCAAAATTAAGTGTGTTCAATTGGGAGCACTCTCGAGATGGGGGACCTCCTTGAAAGTTACACCATTGGGACAAAGCTATGAGTTCAATAGACCAAAGCAAACAATATCTCAATGGATAAGAATTCAGCTCTCCTCGTCAAAACTCTCACAAAAAAGGTTGATTATAATAGAAATCAAACAATCCAAAAATAATTAGAGATAGAAGGAATAATAAAGATCTTAAAGATTGATAAAAAAAACACGAGTTAAAGAATCTTGGAAATAACCAACTTGATTTTTTTTTGCAGCATGTGATCTATAAAAGAAGAATGTTTTTTTGCATTTTAAATACAAAAGATCAAACAAAAATCTACCTTAAAAATTATTCAAATAGTAAGCCAATCAGCATAATCCCCAAAAACAACAACTGATAGGAGAAATTTCAGACATGCCTTAAAAGAAATCGAAACTAAATAATTCAGTTCAATCATGTTAAATTCATATAAACAGAATCATTAAAGGCATATCCCCTTTTTTTTTTGCAGTGACATCAATGATTAGCAATAAGGTCAAAAACAATTTGAGAAACATTGAATTATTCAAGGAAGAAAATCACAAGTTGGAAGCACTTTGATTAAGTATCCGATGAAGAATTTCAACCAAACAAATAACCTGAGCTTATGTTACATAATGCCAAAATAAATAATGGTGTTGACAATTTTTTTAAGGAAAACTCATTTTATTTCATTACATTTTTTTTCTATTAAAAGCTAAGGTTATAGGGCTGCCTAACTAGAAAGAAATTTTCATCCCTTTGATTTTATCATAACAAGCACCAAAACCAATTTTGTAAAACTAAAATGCACAGTATTCATACAAGAGGCTTTTGATTCATGCTTAGTATACAGAAAAACAAATAGACCGTCTTAAAGGTGAAGTTAATTGATATGTAGATAAAAAAAGCCAATCAAAACATAAATAGAAATATTAAGGCTAAAACACAAATCACCAAGCACAAATGCCAACCTTCCCGATGAAGAAGCCTTCAAAGCCCTTATAGGAGCACGCTCTGGCTTATGGTGGACTCGAAATGCACGATTAAGTCCACTCCTAAGGCAAGTAACAACCAGTTTATTAACATAACCACCTGTTCTGTCATTTGCCTGGATTCAAGATACAAATCAGGAGCAACAAATAGAATATACATATTGAACATAATCATGCCCGCAGTACCATGCAAGTGCCAGTAGGTACTAGTTGACAAGTGAGCAGTAAATCAAGAAATTTGTAGGAGGAAAATGCATATATCCATATTTAAAGCAATGAAAACAAACTTTATTAGTTGAAAGATGTGAACCCGGAACATCAGAGAATTATCATATCTTGTGAGATAGTATCGCAACCACTTGAGCATTAGGACATAGCTGACCAGAAAATTCCAGCATTTGGAGACTGACAGTTATTATTTTCCAAAAAAAAAAATTTATCGACACCTCTTGAATGACTCTTAGATATTTGAAACACACAAGCTATGCATTTATTACCCAAACTATGCCAACTAGATTAGGTAATATCCCAAATCCCTTTTACATTGTATCAACTTTCTCATTCCTCCACCAAATCAGTTGTAATATCTCTTGCTTAACAGATTTCACAGCTTTGGGTCAAATATGGTAATTAATAAAAAAGATTTGGTTACAACATTTTGTATTTATAAACGTAGGTATGACACATATGGCAGCTCTCTCATAATGACAATGCTGTGGATGTTACCATCAATTCAAATTTTCACCAATAGAAATAGAGACCTATAAGCACACATGAGAGAGAGAGAGAGAAGTGGGAGTCAAGAAGAAGGAATAGAAATTGGGAGAAAGAGAGCGAGCAAGCAAAGGGGCAAAATTAGGTGACTGCATCGAAAAGATTGCAAGCAAGCCTTGTGGTCAAGCAAGCTGGAGGAGTTGAAAACTAATTTATTTTCTTTCTTCTATCCGGCTTGCTGATGTAAACTTAAGATTAATCTAAGTTTCATTTTATCCTGCCAAAAATTAATTTGATTTGAAATTAGTGCTAGATTTCAAAAGGTAATCAGCATGGAAAATTAACCATGAGCGAAGAAAATCTCATTTCAACTTGCATTTAATGCTAAACTCTATGAAAACAAAACCTAGGGTAAGGTTTCAAAAGAGGTTTAACACAAAACACTGTTTTCAATATATTGGTAGGATCAATGTAATTAAATTATAGGTTTCAAAATTACATGTATCGGGACATTTCTAATTATATTTTTTTCCTTTAAACAATTTAATGCATTTTAACTTCAATGGTTTCTTTAGAAATTTTAAGATATAGAGGTCAGAAAATTATATTAAAAATTACTGATAATAGATGCAAAACCAAAAAATACTGTAAGGTAGTATATACATAAGCCTATCACAACTTAAGATATGGTAAATCTATAAAAACTTCATGTTCAAATGTATATGTTCAATCATATATTCATGATTAACACAGTGATTAGAAAGGATCCGTTTGGGAAAGTTGTTGTTGTTTGAAAAAGAAGCTGTGAAGCTGCTGCAGAAGAAGTTGTTCAAAAGTTACGGTGGCTAATACAAAAAAAAATTTTGAAAAAAGTCAAACCGTAGCTTCTAGCAACCACCGTACTTAGCAAGTCTGGTAGCAAAACACAGCTTTCAGTTGCAGTTTTTTTAAAAGAACAAGTAAAATAAAGTTTTGTAAAACAAAAAAAATATTGGTACGATATCGCACTGTCACCACACAGCTGCCGCAAACGAACCCTAAGAGTGTGTTTGTTTCCACTTTCGAAACTGGCTTCTGAACTGAATCGACTTTTTGTGTTTTTTGATTCAAGTGGTTTGCAATCGCGGTTTCGAACCGAAGTGCGGGCACTTCATTATTCACAACCGCGAATCTGTTGTTGTGTCCCACGTACGTGAGTTAAAAATTCTCGCATTTCCCTCCCATGCCCTAGTTGGCCGCGAACAAGAAAAGCCACAGCCCCCTAGATTTGCGATCTAGACTCTTCTCCTCCATTCAATTTGCCCTCTTCAACTCCGCGTGAAGGACCGCAACGATCACAGCGAGCCATTCTACATTCACGCTCCCGTCTCCGCCTCCGCGAGATAGCCCCGCTCCCATTCGTCTCGCCTCCCGTTTCTTCAAGTTGGGATAAATTTTGAGAGCATGTTTGCCAATTTTCTTTGTAAATATCAAAATTTAGGTGTTGGATACGTAAATACATAAGAATCGTGAGGCTTATATGTAAATCTTCCTTTTTTTTTAATTACCTTCAGATTCCACTGCACGGAGCTCACATCAATGTCATGAGCTTTGTTTTTCTTCGGATAATTTGTATGATCCTCATCAACCTGCAAGTTGAGATGGCGAGAATAGAACAGAATTTGATAGCATTCATTTTCAATAAAGAGCATTTACATAGATACCGCCCAACCCAATCCTATATATTTACATAAGTAAATACTTTTTGTTATTGTTTTACATAGATACCGCCCATTCCTTTATATGGTTGGTAGATCATTTGGTCGCATTCACAAGTAAATACTTTTCTATAAAGGGCATTTACATAGATACCGCCTAATCCTGTTCATTGGTAACATTCATTTTCTATAAAGGGCATTTACTTTCATTTCTTAATTAAAATTTAAGCTAAGTATTTTCAACCTTAGAATATAATCCCTGTAATTGTTTGGCTTCAATTGCCTGTCTGATGGCTGTTGCGAAATAAATAGGTGATTAATAGGTTCATCATGGTTGATATATCATAACTGATCATGGTGATTGAGATATCCATGCTTTGTTCGTATAATTTGTGGGATCCTAATTTCTATTGCAATCTAGAATATTTAAATTATGCCATTCATGAACAAAAGTTATGTTTAATATACTAATTCTCCAATGTTTTAATAAAATAATAGAGAACACTTTTTGATCAGATGATATCAATTTTTTATTCATGTTGGTTGATCAAAGCAGCCTAATTTTTATTTTTTTTATGTGGAATTATGTTATTTATGTGCATAACTTTTAACATTTACATGCTCTCCTTTGAGTTGCTTGATTAGCATAGTTGTCACATATTTTCTGCCTTTTCTCCTTCCCGAATATCTCATCACCAGACAACTTTATGCTTAATTTTTATGTACTTAGAAATTTATATTCTTGTTGTCACATGTGCAAGTTTATACTTCTTGGAAGCTCTACAAGCAGATAACCAGAACTCTACAAATTTGTTTTATTTAATTGTGTAAGTTGTAGGCAAGACCTGAAATGCTTTATAATGCAAGGATTGCAATGCTTTCTTCTCTATCCTGCTAAGGATCAGTTCAGATGGCAGTTGGGAACAAATGTGAGGCCTATGCTGATGCATAGCCTATTTTATATCCTGCAGATTTTTTGGCAAGAGCTGGAATGGTTTTTAGAGCAATTACAATGTTTTACTCATATAACACCTAAATTTTAACCTTTTATACCCTGCAGATTTGTTGGCAAGACCTGTAATGCTTATGTCTTTCGGCAAATATGTATTTGCAAGCATATGAGCGGTATCTGCATAAATGGTAGCAGCAAGTTTGAACAACATTGGTTGTTTCGTAATGCATATATCTGAGAAAATATGAATTATTTTTAGGCCATTTCATATAATGCATATAAAGCATATAAGCGGTTTCTGCAAAATTTGTTCTACATTTAATTACGTAATGCATATATCTGCTAATTTGAATGTTTCATCTGTAAATGCAAGCTTCAAAGTCATGAATGACTAGCATATTCCCAATTTCAATATAATTTTTTGAATGTGTTCAGTATATACTGAAGTAATATTAGGGGCTGTTTTGCTGCTAGCTAGAATTTAACTTAAATATGATTTAGTAGATCCTGCACATTCAGATTTATGAAGTCCCTCCTGTGTCTTTTCAATTGTTACTCAGTAATCTATGGGTATGCTGTTTAGTGGAAAGGCCATCTATGACTTTAAATGGGATACTCGGTTATCTGAAGTGTAGTTCCTTCTAATTTTGGGATCATTAACTTGTTTCTTAAGAGTTATCCATTGTTTCAGAAGGGATGGTATGCAGACCATGGATCCTATAGAATGGTGGGAGTTTTTCTTTATACTTAGATTCTGATTGTGATGGGGAGCATACATTGCAGTCTCTCTTGGCTGAATTTGACTAATTTCTCTACTTGAGCTTGAGCATATTGTCACCTCCCAAAAGAGCCCTTAAGGGTGGTGGGCAGCCCAGGACTTAAATACTGTTTTTCGGTCCTACACCTAGCCAATGTGGGACTATTTGTCTGTGACAATATGCTCGAGTTGTTTCACAGTTCAGTAAGGTGTTTTCAGTAAAGTGAACTTTATGACTTCATCCTTGAATCATGAGCTGTTAGTTCTTTCTTTGATTTGTAAAATGAATCAAAATAGCTAGTTATCACTGATATGAGTTTTTTGCAAAATATTTTACTTCATTTTAGTGCATCATTTTACTATATAATGATTGTCCCCTTTCGGTTATGATGACTCTTATGGCTTCTTTTTTGTATATGCAACGGAATTCATTATATTTGTGTTAATCATTATTTTGCAGGATTGTACTATCAAAAATGAGCTCAAACAATTGAACAAGTGCAAAGAGGACCAAACATTGATCGATTTTCTGTGATTGCAATTTATTGTGTCATTTTCACCGCTCAGAAAGGGGACAACATATGACGAAAACTTTACAGATGTCCAAAGAATTTAATAGAGATTGCAATTTTTTCCAGTGGATTGATGAAATGGGAGATGCACTACAGGAGTGAGCTGACGAAGGGAAATATGAAGTTGAAGATACATTCAAAAATGATGTTAGAGACTTGAAGTTCCTTGTGAAGACTTTACTTTTGTTCCATTTTGTGATTGTAATATTGCTTTATTTGTTGTTAGCATTGTATCTATTTTGATTATGTAGTTGTATTCTGGAGAACAAACTGTATTGCATTAGGTTTCTATTTTGTAAGCAAACCTATTTTTTAAAACCATTTGATCTATCACAATTTCTTGAGATTGTGTTGTTGTTGGAAGGCATAATTTGATGATTTCTTATGATCCAGTTAATGTCCACGTCTATTTACTCTATTATGTCGGTCTGAGTGAAAATAACTTGATAAATTGTCAAAGAATTTGTTTCGTTGGAAGCACTTTCAGAACAGTGTTTTTCAAACAATTTAAACTGAATTGTGTTTATATACTTAGAGCCGTTAAAGTCATTATGTCAACAGGCAGCACTTTCAGAACTGTGTTTTTCAAACAGACCAACTACTTCTAAAACACCAGCTTCTGAATAGAAGTTTTTCAACTGCAGCTTCTGCAACCAGTTATTCTACAACTACAACAAAAAAAACACACCCAAAATTTGCGTGTCACCACTCCATCTATTAATCAATAATGCAAAAAATTAAAACTAATAATCATCTTTTTATGTTTTGAAATAAATTTTCTATTTGAACTAATTATAATAAATGGAGTACTTTTCATACTCTAAAGATAAAATTCATATAAGGATTTAAACAAGGAATAAAGGATTTTGAAATATATTACATGAAGTTATACATACAAGCTAGTAAAATCAAGTCTAAGGAATGATCTCCCTTTAACAACATAACAAAATACTTATAAAGATTTTTTGGCAATTTAAATAAAATGAGAATAAGTTGTACATAACAAGTAAGATATCAAATTATGATAAATGTTAAATGTGCAAAGGTATCAGGAAATTCAACTGATTTTAGTTCGCATCGTTCTATACTTGATTATTATGATTGCTTTACCGGAGTTGATTAAGAATGTATTGATATAGAAATTGAGGCATTAAATTGAAGAAATTAAGATGAATAATTATATTTCTAAATTGAAATATTGTTTCATTTACCCTATATATATATATATATATAGCATTTAATTGATATAATTATGACTTTTGTTCATTTTTATACATTAACGATTTACATTTCTAAATTGAAATATTGTTTCATTTTCCCTAGATATATAGCATTTAATCGATATAATTATGATTTTTTTTCCTTTTTATACCTGAAATGATTTACTTCTATCAAATCATAATTATAAATAATTATAATGATTTATATACCTACATTAATATACCTGCAGTTAGATAATTTTATCTTTCCGGCTCAAACAATAGTAGCACTTTTTCATCTCAAAAAATTATAAACATGAGCTATGCTTTGTCGTGCCAATCAAGAAAGTATTAAATTGAGGCGAGTAAGGTTTTCAATCGTGGTCATGAAACAGAAAAATTAGCACAAAATATAAGTTGTGGCAAACTCCTAATGACAAGATAAATTATATAATTGTGAAATTTAAATTTATCCATTAAGAAATGTTATGATCATATTACTTTTGAAATGAAAAACCCAGGCCTATAATTTCTTTAAAGCTTAAACATGATAACAGGTATGCATATTAATTCTCTTTATTTTGAGTTCTTGAGCATTATGTGGAGGCTTAGTAGTTGAAAGATGTTTTTTTGGTGTTAGATGGCTTGAGCATTATGTGGAGGCTTAGTAGTTGAAAGATTGCCCACAGGGGTAGTGGAACCTACAACAACGTCGGCCCGTGCACTAGATGATACGGTTACCACAGTGTGAGTGGGGGGTATCCTTATGATGAAAAAGAGGATTAGGAGGAGGGGGGATCTCTAAATCTAGTTGAGCACTTTGTTTTTTTGGTGTTAGATGTGGGTGTAGATGGTGACATTGCGAATTGGAGTAACCGAGCATACGACAGTGAGAGCATTACATAGGAAAATGCTCAATAACTACTTTTTGATAATATCTTTGGTTTTGTGAGTCTAATCAAATTTCCTCATGAGCGATTAATGCGATGTCCTTTCAACAAGCACCCTGGCTTTTGAAGGACGTAAAAGATTAAAAGAAAAAATATCCGTTTTAAGTAGCTTACCATAGATTGAAGCAATAGAGTACAACATTGCTTGAGCAAAATAATGAAATTTCAGATCTGGAAGGTGAATCCAGACCGATATGGTTGGTGGTTTCGTCTGTTGGTCAAAATTCACAGTCAATTTCAACATTTTCATTGTTTTGTCATCAATCATCCAAATTAGTATTCTAGCAAATAAGCATATGTAATTCTCTTCATTTTTAAGTTGAATAAGAATATGTTGTCTATCTAAAAGTTCAATTTTTCACTTCCCAACAAGGTGCATGAGCTCAAATTCCTTAAAAATCAGCTCTATTTTGGGATTGTCATAAAGGAATTTCCCGACCAAATTCAGACGACATGAGGAAGCAAGCTGATAACATTCAGCTTCAATAAAGAAGAAGGTTGGCTTCTCATTCTTCATACCAGTTTTCATGAGGTAACAGAACTTGTCGCCCTCCAGCAACGCATAAGAAGGCGGGACCAAACACGATTTAGGAGTACTTGAGGCATGAACACCCGCAAGGGTAACCCTAAACCCTGGCGAAGGCAGTCGAGCTTAGGGAAACAGTAGCACGATGAAGGAACGAAGCAGATAAAATCGAAGAGCGAACCCCTTCTTCTTCAAGCTGGGGGTCAAAGCAAACGAATCAGAAGACGTGAACAACAAAAGCTAAGAGACGACGAACGCAGTTGGCAAAGGTCGAAGAGGACGAAGCAGAAGACGCGAAGATGCGAGACGACGGAAGCTGAGTAACGTGGAAGAAGACGAAATTCTTTCTGCATCAAGCTCGGCGTCGAAGCAAATGAAGCAGAAAACGTGAAAAGGCGGAAGCTGAGAGACGACGAACGCAGTAGTCAAAGGTCGAAGCAGAGGCGATGAGGAACGAGCCCCTTCTTCTTCGAGCGCGTCTGAATAAAAGAAGCAGACGACGGAAATCGCCATCAGGAAAAACCCTAGCATAGGAGACGACGGAAATTGCCATATATTTGTTTAGGTATTTTTCTTTCAAATATCTTTTATATACTAGTTGTATTGTTTCAAGATATATGTGAACATCTTCATGATGAATTTCTTTTTTTTTAAGTTTGGGTGCTCTTTTTTATATTGAGAGCTATATGAATGTAAGGAAAGAAAAAATGGTTGTAAGTGGCTATTGTAATGTAAATTACTTGTTAAGATTTAATCTTTAGTCTGATTGTACATTCTCGCCTCAATACTCTGATCTCCTGTGTCTGGTCATGGCATTCTAGAACCCAAACTCTAAGCAAGTCCCTTGAATTACAGTCAAATGGTTGACTAAATTCCATTAAAGGTCTATGCTACCTGAAAAAAGTTGCTTTTTGTTGCATCTAATGCAATCTCTATGTAGATTCTTTTTAACCATTCTTTTATCTTAGGCTGAGTCTAATGAATTCTGAGATTTCTTATACAAGATGAGAGAGTTGAATCATCATATATTAGCTCAATATACTAGCTGTCTCAAGACAATAACTGGAAGAGTAGCTTCAGGAAACACTTCCTCCATAACATTTATATCATTCCAAAAAACTCAAAGCAAAATAATAATTTTTTTTGCGGAAATTTTTTCAAGATGTGCTGCTAGGAAGATTGGGAACGCCTAGGACAGCTGTTGGGTTGCAGAAGGGGCGGTCCAAGTAGCTGGAACCTCTATTTAAAAAGGCGTTAATAGAGTGCATCCCAGGGCGAGAGCCCTCTCGCCCCAAGCCCACGAGGGGGGTGCAAAGCTCATGGGGCATACGCTCGAGAACACCCAGAGCGCAATTTGCGCCTCATGGGGGCATACGCAACCACCTAATCAAATTAAAAGGTAATTATGCATACTTACCTAATTAAAGCTGATTCAAGGTCACTTGCACCCTCTGCCTCATCGCACGTAAAATCGCATACGCAACCACCTAATCAAATTAAAAGGTAATTCTGCATACTTACCTAATTAAAGCTGATTCAAGGTCTCTTGCACCCTCTGCCTCATCGCACGTAAAATTGCAGAATATCCCGTTGTCATTTGCTTCATTTCTCCCGCAGCAGGCAATCGCATTGCCTATTTCGTTTCTCAAGCAGGTGTGTCTGCTTCTTCATGCACGCAGGCGATTCTGGCATCTAGTTCATTACGTGCACAGGGTTGCTTCGTCCCTCCCACAGCAGGAGATCCCCCCCCCCTCTTCCACTCTAGCAAGCAGGCAAAAGACCACGCTCGTGTCCCTAACCCGCAGTCTATTTTTTTTTCCCGCACCCATATCACTCTCCCGAAGACTCAACCAGATTCATTTTGGTAAAGAATTTATATTGTTTTACGATTTATATTGTTTTAGGGTTTAGGGTTATCACTCTCCCGAAGACTCAACCAGATTCATTTTGATAAAGAATTTATATTGTTTTACGATTTATATTGTTTTAGGGTTTAGGGTTTAGCTACACTAAACCGTGGATTTTATTTTTTTTTTCATGTTAAAAATTTGCTAGAGAACACTCTAGTGACAGTGAACTGCAATTTTATCTTTTTTTTTTCATGTTTATATTTAAACCGCAATATTTCTTTCATGTTTACAATTTGCTAGAAGTAGATTTGATCTTTTTTTTTAATGTGTAAGGTTAGTTATTAACTTGTAATGGAAGGGGAGAATTATGTGACCGGTAGTAGTTACACTAGCAAGGACTTTGCATGACAATATACAACAAACACACCCAACGAAAAATATTTCAGATGTAAATTTTACAATCAAGCGTGTAGTGGAATAATAAACATGATGAAGCCGCTAAAATTTAAAACATTGGCTGGAGCAGTCACAAGGCTGCAAGAAGGAAAGGCTTGAACAGCTGGAACAGCAGTAAAACAGCCAGGGACGACTGTTCGGGGTGGCAGCAACAACGGGGGATATCGTGAACTGCAGGACAGCAAAAAGATGGTTGTCCCGGGGTGGCATCAGTGAGAAACTGCAGAAAAACAACAAAAACGGCAACAGCAAGGAGGAATGTGTGGCAGTGAAGCGGTAGGAATGTGGAAGAGTTGAAGAATAAACACCATCTCGGGAGCGAGATATAGCTGGAGCATCACTCGACCATGTTGACTGTAAAAAAAAAGTGGGAGAGAGGAAAATTAATTAATTAATTAAATTGAAACCATTAATAAAATTAATTAATTAACTAATTCTATAATCTTACATGACCCAGCCCCTCGAAGCCCGAGTTCTAAATAATAATTGTCCCCCCACACCAATTCTCAAAGACAAAAACAATTACACACTGAATAATAAGTGTTCGGCCTCACTCGCATGTCTCACTTTTGTTTCCTCAACTTCCACTTCTTCCAGCGTGGTTCATTCGTACTGATCCCTGCACCCAAACTCTCTGTCGCTTTGCCTTGCCTGAAGTCGTTGAACCCCTTTGTCTCGTAGGAAGACTGCACCACCCCTCCGTATCGTTGAACCCCTTTGTCTCGTAGGAAGACTGCACCGTCTGCGCACCATCCGTTATAGAAATCACGCGCCACCCCTCCGTCTGCATCCCTTCCATTGTACTTGCAACCGAGAGCCTTCACTGCCATGTGTCACAACTTCCATAATGTTGCCTCCTCATCCCACCATAACTCATCCGAAGACCTCTCTTCCTAGCCCGCATGCTAGAGCCAGTTGCCTCTCGCTGAAATCCTTTGACTGCTCCTTACTTGCCCTAGCCCGAAGCTTGAAGCTCGTCGCATCGTCCCTATCTTTATTGTCGCACCCGAGCTCTATTCCTTTGTGCACGCTAACTTTCTCTTCCTCCGCTTTGCCCTAGCTCATATGTTAAAGCCGCTTCTGCCTGTCTCGCGCCCAAGCCCTCCACCTTCCACTATTCAAGCGAGCTAGCCTATCGAAGCTCCCGCCAAAGCCACGCATGATCTCCCTATGCCTCTCTGCTTTTTGTTGTTTTTCTCTGAAAAAAAGGCTTCGCTTCTTTTTTTTTTTAATCTAGCTCTCTGAGTCTAATACCTAAACCCAGACCAAAACCCACCTAGCCGAGCCACCTATGCGATCCCAACCTTTCTTTTCCTACTTTTAACACTTATGTAAATTGTAATTGTAAAAACAATTAGAAAAATATCTCTTTTGTATTTATTTATTTCGTTATTCGTCATCGTCTCCGTGGATCGTCAATGTCAACACAGTTGAAGCTCGTAAGGGTATAATGAAATGTACAATATGGCAATTTTTAAAATGTACATTCCATAAGGTGTGAGTGTCAGTCCTTGGAAATTAAGTATTGTTTGGGGAAATCCACGGACTCGTTTTTTTTTAAATAAAATTGGGGTTTTCAAATACCCGTCCTTAGATATTAAAAACTATTCAGAGAAAGTAAAGTACCACTCCAGAGAAATTTGTGTTTGCGATTTGACAATTAACATGTATTTTGAATAAGAAAAAATAAGTTATAAGTTTAGAGTAAAAGGAAAGAGCACAACAAAAAATGCAGAAAAATTACTTGTAACTTTGTGTCAATTGAAAACCATTTTCCTCAATTTATAGACACACGATTACCTGGTTGAATGAGAAAGTCACGAGGCGAGAATTCCCAAGCCATCTCAATCCCTTGATGACGCCATTGTGAGCAAAGAAACTAGCAGCAACTGCATTGGCTGAAACATCAATGACATCAATAGTACCACTTTGTGTTCCTAAAGCAACAAGTGGAACAGCTGCTGCGGGACTGTTTCCTCCTCCTTTATGCAAAAAATTAAAAAAAAAAAATTAGTTGCGAATGTAATGATTTTTCTCTTCCAAAAGAATAGGAAATGGAATCAATATAATTTAAAGAGATTTTGAGATGGAGAAATTACGAGCCAAAGTGGCAAGTAAAGAAGGTGAAGGCACAGATAGAGTTGTCACAGTAGATGAAAGAAGATGAAGTTGACCAACCAAACCAATCTGCATGATAAAAGTTAGATACCCGTAAAAAGTAGATAACAAATTGTAATAACTGAACATGTTTAATTGAAGGAGTATCAAAATGTCTGTAAACAAAGCTCTTTGATAATTATTTCTTTGACAAATAATACGCCCATTCATATAGCACTTATAGAATGGGAGAATTTTCTTGATTAGCATTGTGTCCATCAACGAAAAAGTTGCATTACGCATATTGATATGAAGATTAAACGAACTAAATTTACTGCAAATAAAAATAACTTGTATTTCTTTAAATTTTCTTCTCACCTAATCAAAAGGGTCAATAAATCCAACATTTGCCATCGCCAATACAAACAAGATTGTGTTTTCTTTAGAACTTTTAAAATTTCTATGCTCTCTATTTTTTAAGCCCACGTTTGCATTATACAAGAAAATTATTGTCCCGATCCTAGGCTCAACTTCAAAACATTTGTCAGCTTTAACTAATTGAATCACAAAGAACTTATTTGTTTTATTCAATTACATGGACGGTATCAACATAATGCGAGATCAAACAAGAAACCCAGATAAACCTTACAACAAATGTACCTATAACAGCTTGTCTCACTTTTCAAAAGTCCTGCTGTGCACAGTTATGCCATACACCAGATAAGCACAACTGAATTCTTACCCTGTTCATCACTCCCTACTATGAATTCGAAGACATTAAGACAAAACCTGAGAAGTTATTCATTCCATATAAGAGTACGGCAACATAGAATTATAAAACGTAGCCTCAGTATACGAAACTTATTGTTTGTTGTCACCGGTTTAAAAATCCACTTTATTTTAAAGAATTGATAGTAGGGTGTCTCTCATATCTTTGCCATGTTGCAGGGCTGAAATGTATCACACAATGGAATGAATAACTTCTTTAATTTATCCATATCTTTGTTGAGGCTCATAATTTGGCTATCCATAAATGTGTCTACAAAGATATGGATAAATGTACCCTTATAATTGTGTCTACAAAGATATGAAATGAAGAAAAAGATATGGATAAATGTACATTTCACCTTATATCCATAAATGTGTCTACAAAGATATGGATAAATGTACCCATGAAATGTATCAACCCATGGAAGATTTAATACATATCTTTGTTGAGGCTCATAATTTGGCTTAGCTCAAAATGAAAAATTTCCCTTCTAACTCAGTAAAGCAATCCAAATCCAAGTCAAAATCAATATTGAGTTTACTTGAAATTATTTTTTTAGTTGCATGCATAAATGTGTATGACAATGCACATACATGTACGATATTTGGGTTCATCTTTATTTTTTGTTTTCCATTTTATTTTGTTTATATTCTAACATTATATTGGTACTTCAATGCATGTGCTTTTTTTCATAAATAAATTTAGGTTTTTTCTCCGCATTGCTACTTTTTAAAAAAACCCCATTGTGTCAGATCCCAATCACCCATTGTCAATTTCAAATCAATAAGCTTGAACATCCCCTTCACCTAGTTCAACATTACCACTTCCATGCTAGCAATTTTCAACGCCTATAAACTCACCTCTACCGCCTCATTCAATTTATCCATACCTATGGGCTAACAAATAATAATTAGATATAATTATAATAACTATAATTATCAAAATGAGGCCATTTAAAAGCTTGTTTTCATGCAAAATCCACAAATAGAACAATCAATTCAAGGCCATTTGAATGCAAATATTATCATACCTATCAACCATTTCAACCTTTATCCTTGCTTCTCTCATCACTATCGTGATCTCCGATCAGTGGCAGCACCAACAGGCTATCATTTTCTTGAAGCTCAACAAATCGCCAACAGAGTCGAACAGAATATTTCCAAAGCAAGTAGTTACCATGGGCAACGATGGCATGAGCAGTCGAAATCTCATCCTCCCAAATCAAGCACTAAACGCTACCCCAAACTACAACAAACTTCAACAATAACAAAACTGTCACTAATATATCATCTGATCCAAGATTAAGGTCATCAAATGATCGCCCTCATTGGCCTACATTGGAATTTGGGATCTATATAAAGAAAACTCTAAGAGCCAATAGTTAGAGAGAGGAGTTGAGTTGGAGAAAAAAATTTGGTTTAGAAAAGTTGAAAAACCCAAAACCTGATTTGAGTATTTCAATAAACAATCAAATATTTTCTAAAAAAAATTGAAACAACCTACCAAACTTTTTTTATTCTCTCATTAGCATGTTTATTTCAAAACAAAAAGAAAACAATTTAGCAAGGGATGCAAACTGATCCTTAGAAATCTATTTTTTTAGGCAATCATATGACATACTATTTTCACAATCATTAATAGTGGGTGTTATTCCTATGACTAAATAAGCTATTTAGGCTCTGTTTGGGAGCACTTTTTAGGTGCGGCGCGGGCATTCGCCGTGACTTCTCGCGAAAGCTGTCCGTTTGGTTCGCGACTTTGGGCAATTTGGCGGCGGCAGCGGGGCGAAAGCGGGCCGCGGGATATCTGTGGCTTCTCCCGCTTTCGACCTAAATTTTACCCTTTTCCCTCTACCTACCCTCGGTGATTCCCGCTGTTTCCCCGCGTCTGACCGTCCACCCTAGGTGATTCCCCGCTGCTTCCCTCGAGTCCCCTTCTCCTTCTCCTCTTTCGTCGTCCCTCGACCGACAGATCTAAGGTAAGACAAACTATTTTCTTCTTTCTTTGAGGATCTGACGAAGGATTTGTGTTTTGCGGTTCGTGATGGTTTCTCCTTCACATTTCTTTCCTGTTTCTGTCATTTCTCTTTTCTCCTCCTTCCCTGTCGTGGATCTGTTGCTTCTTAACGAACAATGGCTTTAGGTAGTTCTTGTGGCACAAGAGAAATTACTTCATCTAACTCTTACCTGAGTAGTACACCTAGATTTGGGATCATTTTGGCATTGTCCATCCAAGTTGCAGATCTTGCAGTACTTTTTTTCGGATCTGCGGTTTTGCGGTTTTGTGGTTTTGTGGCATTGCGGTTTTGTGGCTTTGCAGGTTTTGTGGTTTTCCCACAGAAACGTGTTAAGTGTTGTTCGAATTGGCTTGTGCATACATGAATTGGTTTCTTCATACATGAATAGTTTTCCCTATACATGAATACGTTTCTTGCGGAGCTGCTGCCTTTAAAAATATATAAAATGCCTTATTTCCTATGGTTCGTGTAGAACTT